CAAAGCTGGTGAATTTTTGGTTTCCTGCAATTATCCTCACTCTTTGGCAAACAAAGGGACTTTGTTCAGGCCCAGCAGCCTCACAAGTAGTGTGAGGTAACAAATAGCCTTAGTTCTTGCTCTGTGGCAAATTAATTTTATTTCTTTTCACATTAGCAAAACACAAATTTCACCATGTACCCTTTGATTGCTCCACAAAATTAAGATTAAAGTATAAAATTATAAAACCTTTGCCCTGATAATAAAAATGGCTTTTTAAAAGGATTTAAATCCAGTTTGGCCATTTCAAAATCGTTTTCTTTAATTTGTGACACATTCCAGCTTCAGTGAGATGTGACTATTGCCAATTACCAATGTTATGTTAAACATTCACATTTAGAAGCAAGTTTCATGTACTGTTACATGAAGATTCTTTCTTCAGAATATTTTTTTTCTACTGTCATTCTACATCAAGTATCCTGGAAATAAATTAGTATACTTGCATACATTTTATTTTAATATTACCTTTAAACAAGTCTTTATTTTAATATTATCATTAAACAAGTCATTATTTTAATATTATCTTTAAACAAGTCTTATAATGGGACAGGGACAAGTCTTCTAAAGGCTTCGTTCAAGAAAATTTTCAATTCTTCATTTGTCACTACTCATCTACTTTTGGCTAAGGAAATGGGGGTGGGATTATGGTAAAATAAGAGTGGATGGTCATGTGAGGGTGGTGTCAGGTCCTGTCTTCATAAAGAATGGGTTATGGTTTTCACACTAATTTTGATTTTGTAAAACGTCATTTGTTTTGTTTTGAGTTATCTGAGACATCAAAAATTATACTTGGAACAAATATGTCATTGATATTACCGGAATTCCAGATTGCTTGGACAATTATCTCCAGTCCTCATCACCTCGAATCAAAGAGAGGTTGTTTCAACATGAAGAAAAGTTAGTAAAGACATTTCATTGTGAGAGCTGCACAAAGTGTAAAACAATCTAATATTCAAAAAATCAGACATATCCTTTAAATCAGAAGGAAATGATTCTTGGTGGTGATGTATTTGTTGCTCCACTAAGATATTTTTTCTACATGGGGAAGCTCATGCTTCCTATACCTTTAAGTTAAGAATGTGACTGAAGCCAAAATGACCCATCCATGAAGATGTCAATTGCCTCAGGGAAGGAAAGCAATCTCCAAATGATTTTGAAAAAAAAAATTCTGGGAAATATTTTGAACAAAGTTAGAAGAACTTAGGTAAAATTTCATTCATGACTATTTTTTTGACTACTGAAAATTCAATATAGCTCAGTACCTGACTGTATTCTAGTAATAAAGTTTCCCCATGGCACAGACTGATAAACTTTTAGGTAGATTAGCCTAGCATACAGTAAATCTTTGTTAGGGTTAGTGAATATGAATGATAACAGCAACAGCAACTTATCCAATAATTGCATTGCATGACACATACTCTACAATGCTGGAGATAGAAGTGAGAAAAATCTTAGTCATGTGGTATAATATTATAAAATTATGGAAAGTAACATTCAAATGAGAAATTATAGTAAAATTACCAAATAAAAGCCATAAGTCAGTAAAGAATAGATGAAGATAGTTTTATACAATAATCCTGAAAAACTATTAGGAATGATATGTCCTTTGAAATGTAAGGAATTACAGTTTTAATATAATGTATTTAAACGTTTAAACTCATCATATTGCTTAAATTGTTCATGTCCTGTGGAATGAGTAGAATAACTTGATTTTTTTCCTTTGTAGTATCCTGAAAACACTGTGTTCACCTAAGTCTGCGAATGGTAGAATAACCATCTTTTAAGAGTAGGATGACATCCACTTGGTAATCATTTCCTCATGGAGAGGCCACAGAGACTTAGAGGCAGGTGGTGTGCTTCAGTAAGCCAGGAAATGGCAAAACAATTTTTTTTATCCTCATTGTATTTAAGAATGCTTCAATATTTACCCCTGTTGTGATGAACCTCATTTGAGGCATTTGAAAAGCCCAAAGAAAACAGGTCCTATAAATAAATTAAAAATCATCCTCATATCTAAGAATATAAACATGGCTGTGATTGGAAACTGGATAAATACCATGTATTAAATAAGTGTACAGTAAAGAGTAAAATAAACAGAATTTTACTATATGGGAAAGTTTAGACAAAGGGATGACTGGGAAATCCATGTTCTGTTTAAATTATGCTCATTTGTATATTTGTATTATATCTATAAGCATTGTATGGTGGTTTTTAATAATAAATCTTATTTGAAAATTATACAAAGACAGACAAGCAAATCTATACTCATTGACAAAGCAAAACATTTCATTAGAATTCAACAATAAAATAAAATATTCATAATTTTAGTTTATTTTCTGTTGGATTTATTAATAATCTTTATATATATTTATATGTATGGCTTTGAGCAAAGACAAAAGACATACTCTAACTCTACTCTAACTCTTCCCTGGTCATACAGTGGTAAGGATCCGATATTTTCTTATCTTGTCAGCAGCAAAAGATCAATAATACAGTTCTTTCTGTACAGATTAAAACTCCACACTTGAGCTTAACTATGTACAGAGAAAAAAGGTCATGTTCACCTAGCACTGTACCTTTATATTACAGGAATGTGAGTCTCTTTTTCCTTAATCTAAATATATATATATATACATTCATACATGTGTGTATTATTTACCCTGTACCATTTTGTTAGCTTAACATATAAACCTTAGGATTCTTTGTCCATTCTAGTACAAAGTGAATAAAAATTTTATGGTTGCACTTAATGATCATGCAATTCAATTTTGCTGATGTTTCCCAATAGTGCTCAAAAAATTTTATGTATAAAAAATATTTTACTACCAAACCCATTAATCCTGTCAAATGTAAACCTTTAGTAATTTAAAGGACTAGTGCATGATCTCAATAAATTGAAGCTATTTTATATTTTAATAAAATAAAGGAGTTTTGTACTGATATGTAAATGGCCTTGCTATTTTCCCATAGATTCTAGGTAGGCCAAACGATCTCTATCTTACATAGTTCCCAATGGGCTGTCATTGGTCACCAGCATGTCACCATGTCTAGCATTGTTGATTGCTTCCACATAAGTTAGAAACTACTAGCAATTAAGCATAACAACTCTTTTTGGTTTCATAGGTGTTAGATCCATAAATGGCGTAACAGGCGACATGGATCCACTTTAGAGCTTTTGTTTCTGCTTTTGTTTTCTGTCCTCACATCTGTCTAGAGGTCCTGTCTCAATAGATTGTGTGGTATATACATTCTTAAGTGAATCATCTCTGCCTGTGCTACTAAAGACCTTCTCTCCAGGTCATGTCTTAAGTTATTTACAGAAGTCAGACATTAGGAATCCTCCCATTGTGTTCTAGTTGTCTCCCACATGTGTGGGATGCAGTAAGCACACATGATCACTAAGGGACTTCTCTAGACGAGGCTGGTGCTCACAGAAAGAATTAAGGAAACAAATGAACAGACAAACAATGCTTACAGACAGCTCAACTTCACCCCTGCTTCCTGTTACCATGTCCACACTATTTTCAGCACATTTAAAAGAACAAACCTCCTGTCTATCTAAGGACTATGTTGGTTACCACATGCCTTAAGATTTACTAACTGCTTAGTTACAATATACATAGGGCAAATGTGCATTTCCAAACAGATGTGATGATATATTATATTTATTTCTTCACATTAACATCACAATAAACTACCAGCTAATATGAAGACACACAACACATTTAACTCCAAACCAAGCTGTGATTTGCAAATAATTGTTTAAAAGATGATAACAGCAATAATATTAAATTAAAGTGAAAACCTCACTTCTAGATTTAAGTCAGAGATCCAAGTCAGCCTTTTAAGAATTTTAAAAGAGGCAATTAATGAATTGTTATATCGTCCAGAAGTGAGAAATACTGTAAGCCTTTTCTTACAATGACTGATTGGAATCTACTTTTTTTGCCCCAAAAAGCATGCCAGGACTAGTTTCAGATTCTTGATTATGTCAATAAGGAAGAAAAGTAATAATTTTTTGGTGTAATACAAGCAATTTGTAGATTCAAGCATACAATTTTGCATAAAATATCGCAGGATAAAAATAATATGGTAGGTCTGAAGCCATTGCGTTACAGTTGAACAATTGTCACAAGTATTAGATTTTGTGAAATTTAAAACTCTTAACTCTTGAAGTGAAGGCATGAAACTAAATTCTTAAACAGTGAGTGACTTTTACCTTTATACACCACAGAATAGTTACTTTTATTTGGATTGGAAAAGTTATTTACAGTTAACATTGACTTAGTCTTGATGAAAGTCCAATAACATGTGAGGACAAATACCTCCTCACCTTTCTGCCAAATCAGAGAACATGTTTGAGGTTAGAGAAAGCCTTAGCAGTGGCAGCGTTAGTCTCCTATGGTGGCTGAGAATGTAGTGTATTCCTTCACCTAACTCAAAATTTAAAGCACCAAAATACAATTTAGAACTATAAACTGGGATTTGGTTATTTCATCCCACATAATTAACAATCTAGATGGAGAGGTACAGCTAATGAAAGAAAGCTTTGATTGGTGCTGTTCTGGAACGAATTGGAGATGCCTTTTCAAAATCTGAGTTTTGATTCCATTGACCCCTTCATAAAAGAGAGAAATACGTGTATCAAAGGAATTAAGTAAAAGTGGCTTAGAAATCAATGATCTTACAACAATGGGTTAAATTCTTTAATGATTTTAAAGAAAGGAAGACATGTAACACTGAATGCTATACAAGTCTTTTGAACTTTTCTTGGGCATTTATATATATAGATATATATTTAATTGTATATGTATATATGTTTTTACATTTGCATGAAGGCCAGAGCTGTCTAAAATATCTTTTCAGAGTAGGCTATAGGGATCTATCATTTGATAGAATAAAATAATATCTGTGAATATTTTATTAGAGTATTTCTTTTCTGCTTTGACAATCAGCAAGGATCATAAATTTGAAGCAAAACGTGGTTTTTCTGTATCTGGGTCTGTGTTTAAGACTGAGGGAGATTCTCTCTGCACAGCTGCTGGTGGTGGAGGTGCTGGAGGCACTCCTCGGTTGGGGGGGATGGCTCCTGAGGACATCTGTCGGAACAAAGTGACACGTTGTGGCACTGTGCTCCTGCCCCCTGCCTGAAGGCCTGTGCTGTGGACAGCTGCCACAGGCTGAGGGATGGAGGCCAGGGACTCGCCCACAGTGGGATGAGGTCTGGAGATAATAGTGGACACCTCATGGGGCAGCGAGGGCTGCGAAGCCGAGAGGGGCCTGACTTCTCTTGTCAGGTTGGTGTTATGAAGTGCTTGCGTGCTCTTGTGCACTTCGTTTTTCGGTGTGGAGCTACCAGGTGTCTGTGGCTGTTGCTGCTGCTGCTGCTGTGGCTGCTGAGGCTGTGGCTGTTGTTGCGGCTGAGTCTGCGGTGCCTGGGACTGCGATAGCTGCGGCTGCGGCTGCTGCATGAGTGACAGCTGGGAAGCAGTGGGAGAGGCATAGTGGAAAGTTCGTGTGGCCAGGGGGCTCTGTACAGGTGGACTGCAGACTGCTGTGGTATAGGAGCAGGGTGACAGGATGGCTGAGGGCTGGGGTGTCTGTGTGCTGGGACTGGGCGAATGCAGATTGCTGTGAGACAGGCTGGTTGCAGTATAGACAGGTGGAGATTGTGTCCTCATGCGGGAGGTTGGGGTGGTGGTTGATGATGTGCAATTCAGGGCTGTCATTTGTGGGTAGTTGATTGGGGGGATAGCTTGCACCATCTCTCTGTCGTGTTTCACAATCTGCTTGAGGATCTCATTCTCCTGATTGTTGAAAACACCAGTGTTCAGATCCTTCTGGAACTTCTGAAGGAGAATGGAGTTTTTCTTGCCTATAAGCAAAGGAAAAATAGACACTTAGACAGGCTGAAAGGAACTAGTAATGCCACATGAAACTGGCTACTCCTGGGTGATGTATCTCAGCATTAAGACCCACAGGTTTAGAAGTCAAGAACTTATCTGTCAGCACCAAACAGAAGTGAAACTTCTGCCTTGTTGCAGAATTCTGCTTGGAAATCTTACCCATTACTTAAAAATTGGAAAGACAAAAGATGGCAAAAAACAAAAGCTGTTGTATAAAAGAGCATAATCAGAGCATATAATTACAATAGGGGCATAATCGGAGGTGTACAGAAGTCCTGTTTGGGTTAGGCTGGGCCTGGAATCATTATTTTAATTTCAAGTTGTGTTTGCAAGGCAAAGCAATGGAGAGTTAAGAGACAATACTGGAACATTTCCTTTGGGACACACAGTCAACAAAGGGCTTTAGGCAGAACCATTTATACAATCCTCAGGATAATGAAGCAGATGGATCCATCTCATTTATGGCTTGGGGAAGTTAACATTGATGCTTACAAATTTGGGTTAGAAAGAAAAGAGGCTGTGAAGAGAGGAAGAGATTCTGATTGTGAAGCCTTGCTACAGATGACAAGTGGGCTTCATCTGAATCATCTGGGTGCCTGTAGAAAGGCACTTCCTCTGGCCAAATCCACATTTCGAATCTGATACTGTTTTATATATAGTTTCATGAAAACTGTCTCAGAGATTTAACCTTTGACCAGTGCCAGGTACCAATGATTCTTCATTCTAGCTAAATATTTCTCTTATCTCTGGAGCTTTAAAAGAAATACAAATACCAATTACATGTGAACAACCTGACCTGGGGTCTAGATTTAGCATTTGCAAGCAAATCTCCTCAAAGGATGCTTATGAGCATGCACTCTGAGGATTACCTTGTGAGCTTTCCTCCTCTGTACAGAGGCTGTGTGTGTGTGTGTGGGGGGGGGGGGCAGATCTCTGAAATTCTCAGCTCACTCCAGGACACAAATAAGCTTTAGTTTCACTTCCTGCAACAAATTTCTGAGAGTTTTGCAATAACTTGACATTCCCTGGCAGAATATTAATTAGTAACAATTATGCATTGCTAAAAATAAAAAAATAGATAAGAATATGGAAGACATCAGAACACTGAATCAACTAAGACAGACACATGGGCTTACAGAGTCTGAAGCATTAAGCACCTGGCCTAAAACAGTCTATACCAGGTCCTCCGCCTATGTTTCGGCTATTAGCCAGGTATTTTTGTGATTCTCATAACTGTGGGAGCAGGTGTGTCTCAGTCCTTTCCCTGCTCTTGGGACTCTTTCCCTCCTGTTAGATTGCCCTGCTTCATTGTATTCTGTTTGTTGTGTTTGGTTGTTGTCTCTTGGGGGACTGTTTTGTTTGTTTGTTTTGCTTGTTTGTTTGCTTTTCTGAAGGGAGATGACAGAGATAAAGTGGATTTTGGGGAAAAGGGTCCGGTGTCTAGGAGGAGTAGAAGAAGGAGAAACTGGCCTGGATGAGAGAAGCATCTGTTTTCAAAAAAAGTACACACATACAAAAGTACATACATATACAAAAATAAAATAAAAAATACTCAAATAATCATGGTAACTGAAAAGTGAAGACATTATGTTCCACTTCTAAATAGTATCACTTCAAAAGTAGCCGAGTATATTTGCAACAGGTTGAGTATATTTGGACTTTTCTTGGATGCTAAGAAACCTGATCATTTTACATCATTGCCCAAATAGTTATTGTTCCTTTCTTCAAAGCCCCTCTTATTTCCTAAAGCAAAAAGTCTCTTACGTTAGTATCAATAATGTATACAGCTGTTTATTTGATATATTGCCTTAACTAACTACAATAAATAAAGTGCTGATCTCACAAGTGAGATGGACAACATTGCTTTGTATTTAAACAGTCTATCACAATTAAAGTATCTTTATCTATGAAAATAATTAAAATGATTATTATGGTTTTAATGCACTGGTTGAGTTTTATTGGTGTCAAAACCACAAAAGTTGGGTACTTACTAGCAATGCCATTGCTTGCATTATTGATTAAACCATTTCATGTAACTTTTTTGAGGGATTACAATTCTGAAGAGAATGAATATGAACCAGATCAATAGAAATTACTGAATATACTAGATTTTGATAATTTATCTAAAGATGTCTATTTGGTTTAGGAAACAAGTCCCAAATACTCAGAAGTTAGTCTCTGTGTCTAATATGAACACTGACAAAGGAAAAACAAATGAGATCGTCTTCAAATCCTGTTTTTAGGGATGTCTCTTAAAATGTTCCCTGAACTCTCTAAGTTGTCAATATGAACTTCTGGTATGTTTGTTGTGCCCTGTGATAATGTCCACACAGTTCTTTTCTTTATCTCATCTACTATTTGACCCTTCAAAACTTTCATTTTGACCTACATTGAGGGAAAGAAAGTAAGAGGCTGTCACAAATATTAAGACCTTACCATTTTTAGGATGAAGATCTTGAAACACCTTTTGTTTACTTCTGACTGACCCCAAATCCATCTGCTTCAGGCATATTTACTCCCTCCTCCTTCTCCCCCCTTCAACACACATGCATTGTAGACCAGGTATTGAAAGTGTAATGGTGAGTTAAAGATGCACTTTCCTTTAATAAAGGTTAGTACTTTTTAAAAACAGTTACTATAACAAAGTCAATGCTGTGAGAGGGAAACATAGGAGACTATATCAGAATTCATCAAGGGAATTCTGCCTAGTATGTGGTGAGAAGCCAGGAAAAGTTTCCATAGGAAACAGTGCTTGAGCTGAATAATTAATTTAGTGCAGAACTATGCTAAGGGAGAGGGAAAGGAAAGGTAAGGTGAACAAAATGGTTAAAGTTGGAAGAATAAATTCAAACTATCTTATCAGCATATTCTGGGATAGCTAGCAAATTTAACAGCAAGACAATGTGATCCTACTTTGCTGGTGGAAACTACGCAAATCTTTAACATAACTAATAAGTTCTATTTAATACGTTTTTGTTTTGTAGCACGAAAGACATCACAACTTTGATGTTTGCAAAGTAAACATCTATGTTGGTGCATGTCTCCAAAAGCTTATTCTCTTAGAGTCTGTATTACAAACATTTTGATGTTTTTGCTGAGACAAATTGTGTAAGTTTTTAATTTTTAATATAAGCATGAAATGTAAAACTTGCCCATAAAGATAAAAAGAACCTTATGATAAAATTTGAGGATGTAATATAGACTCATGGTATTGGTTTTTAATATTATTGTAGTGCCATCTAGAATTTGTACTAGTGCTTTTTACCTGAAGATTCAAACTGAAGTGGTATCACTTGGGCTATCAGATTGCATAGCTGGTGAAAACAGACATGAACAAATCAATCCAGAGGACTTAGAAGGAACAGGAAGGACCTCGGGTCTTTCTAAACAACTATTTACTAAACGGTTGTATGCTACTTTTTTTCATACAAATTAACAAGGGGCCCATGCACTAGAATTTGAAACTAAAATGAATTGTGCTTGAGAAAAAGTGAAAGTTAAAGAGTACCTATCCGATCGAGTCGGTCAATAGCAACTGTCTCAAAAGCTCTTCTCATCATTGGATATTCCTCCAAAACCTCATTGAAGTTGTCCACCGAAAGAGAGTAAAGACGACAGTATGTATCAGCTCGAACACTGGCTGTGCGCCGGCCTTTGGTCAGTAGGCAAATCTCTGTAAAAAGAAGGGAGAATGACTTGATTGGTAAGGATCTTTGTCAAGTTTTGAATGCCTCAAACAATTAAAAAGCTTCATGTGAGAAGCCAATCATTTGAGGCATCCATTTTTTATTTACCAGTAAATCCAACTACTAATATTCATTTTTAAATTTTATATTTGAGATTAAAATATAATTACAATTCTCCTTTACCTTTCCTCCTTTCAAACCCTACTCTCCTTCAAATTCATGGCCTCTAATTTCACCTTGTTATTACATGCACATCTTTATATGTATACATATGCACATCCCTAAATGTAGCCTGTTCAATCCTTATAGCATGTATGTATGTTTTCAGGTATGACCATCAGTCACTGGATAATACCTATTTTAAAAACTGCAATTTTTTTTTTTTGTTTTGTTTTCAAGACAGGGTTTCTCCGTGTAGCTTTGGAGCCTATTCTGGTATTTGCTCTGTAGACCAGGCTGGCCTCTAATTTACAGAGATCTGCCTGCCTCTGCCTCCCGAGTGCTGGGATTAAAGATGTGTGCTACCAGCTCTGGGCACTGCAGATGTTTTAAAACTAGGAAGGCTTTTGGTTCAAATGGGAGAGAAGAAATTTTCCGTTTTAGAAAACAAAGGCAGGTTTTCTTTGAATGGCAGAATCCAGTTGTAGAGAAGGAGTTATGAGCAAAGGGGTCAAAACCAGGCTGGTGAAACCCACAGAAACAGCTGGCCTGAACAAGGGGGAACTCTTGGTCCCCAGACTGATAGCTGGGAAACCAGCATGGGACCGATCCAGACACCATGAATGTGGGTGTCAGTAAGGAGGCCTCAGAAATCTATGGGCCTCTTGAAGTAGATCAGTACTTATCCCTAGCATAGGAATGGACTTTGGGAGCCCATTCCTCATAGAGGGATACTCCCTGAGCCTAGACACACAGGGGAGAGGACCTAGGCCCTATCCCAAAGGATATGACAGGCTCTGAAGACCCCCTATGGAAGTCCTTACCCTCCCTGGGGAACAGAAATGGTATGGGATAAGTAGAGTGTTAGTTGGGGGCAGGCAGGGGAGGAAGGGAGGGAGAGGGAACTGGGATTGACATGTAAGACAATCTTGTTTCAAAGCCGGGTGTTGGTTGCGCATGCCTTTAATCCCAGCACTCGGGAGGTACAGGCAGAGGCAGGCAGATCTCTGTGAGTTCCAGGCCAGCCTGGTATCTAGAGTGAGTGCCAGGATAGGCTCCAAAGCTACACAGAGAAACCCTGTCTCGAAAAACAAACAAAAAAATCTTGTTTCTTATTTAAACAAAAAAAATGGAGACTAGAAAAGATACCCCTTCAGATTGATTAAGGGTATTTTATAAGTTATGAAAAATAATGGTGATTACAGGACATATTAAAAATTAATTTTGTGCTCTGTGCTCTTAGAACCAAAGGTTTGAAATCCTCAGAGACTTATAGAATCCTGTAACACAACAAGGGTAAAGGAATGAAATAAAACCCTTTCTCTCATAATGAGGTAGGTTGAAATTTCTTTCTGCTGGTGTCTTCATTTTACTGAAACATCTTTATTGATATATCTCCAACAGGTATAAATTATATATTGTTGGGGGCACAAAGATTCTTGCACCACATATTACTAAGAAAACCAGGAATTTTAAACATACAGGGGCCTCTCCTCAGTGGAGGAGATAAAATAAATATTTTCTGTTCGGTAGACTGTTAATGACCTAGTGACCTTTTGGTTATCTGTGGAGGCAGAATTCATCCACCCTTTGCTACAGAGGCAGACTTCATAAAGTACCCCAGAATGTTTATCCCAGATTCTTCCCTCCCTATATTTCAGTTAACAGAAACTATCATTAGGGAGGATGTCACATGTACTTTATAGCTGGCTGAGCTTTATGACATTTGGTCACAGACCACAGTAGAATCTAGTCCCTTTAGGTATAAAACCCACCCTTATTGTCACATGTACTTTTTAAAGGAGTTTCTACATAGTCACACTTTAAGCTTTATTATGTATGTGGTTTCAGAATGATTGCAGGAATGGGAATGTTCGTTGCTGGAAGCTTTTCCACAAATTTTATTGTGTTTTAAATATGCTGACAACAAACTGCCCAAGTCTGATCCAGGTTGACAAAGTGAATCTCAACTGAGTTTTCATTTTCAACTCTTTGCAGATAACTGCCTGTATTGATACTTGCAGGGTCCTTTTCAATAAAAGGTACATCTGTTATTTATATCTTTGTCTTTCAAATTCCTATATATATATATATATATATATATATATATATATATATATATATGTAAAGGAATTTGAAAGAAAAAGTTATAAATCAGAAAAGATGTGAACTCTAGGGGGATGGAAGCAGAGAGATACAGAGAATTGAAAGTGATTCTAAGCACTGGCTCAGAAAGTCTATATTAAAAAAATAAAAGCAGAGATGAGGTTCAGGTGAAGGTCTGACAGGATACCTTAGTATACTTTATGTATTCCTTTTGAGATTAGAATGAAGAAAAGAATGTTTCAAGAATACAAATGAAGACTCCTAACTAAATATCACCCAAGAATTCTTCACTAAAATTAATATACTCAAAATGTGGTAACTTCATGTTTCCAATTAGAATTTCCATTTTTCTAGCTAATCTATAAAACATTACTTTCAAATTTTTATTAATTAAATAAAGTTCTTGTAGTCATTGCCCTTTTTTAAAACTTGGAAGTAATTTCACTTTTTTTGTCTTTAAAGTGACTGGTTTGGAACACATGAGATGGTCCATTGGGTAAAGACACTTGCTACCAATGCTGACTGGGACTCATGTTGCAGACAAAAAGAACTTTCTGGCACAATTGTCTTCTGACCTCTATCTACACATGTGTAATGGCACATGCCCACCCATATGTATGCATACACAGACGAACACATAAACAAACAAGCAAGTACATGCAAATATAAATAAACTTTTTATCACAAAGTTTCTTATGTAATTAAAGTTTTTTGAAACATCAGTACTGTTCAGTGAAGGATTTTATCAGACAATTAAAGTTATGGAAATAGTGTGGAAGTAGAATGCTATTTACACTGTTTTATGTGCTATAGTTACCTATATGGATAAAATATGGGGATAGATGCCAAATGAACAAATCAGACAGCCTTCTTCTGCTTCTCCAGGAATCTGATGGCTTAGTAGAACTGTAGTAGTTAAATTCCTGTTGATCCAGCTACACACATCAAAACCTATACCTGTTTTGGTATAGGATGAAGGGTATGGGCCTGAGGATTTCAAGTCCTTAATTGTAACCCAGACTGATGATTTTTGGTAGAAAAGTTCCAGAAAAATACCTACATTCTTTGGACATTGTAGAAAAAAATAACACTTAATTAACATCACTGTAGTTTGATTAGTATCAAGTTTGTAGCATAGATTTATTCATATCTAATCTATCAAGTTGCATTAGCTCTTATGCCTACAGTACCCACATGGTGAATAATAGTTGCTTATTGTTTTTCTGGTTGAATCAATGAGCCAAAAGCAACAGAGCCTACAAAATGAATTATTTATCAAATTTTCATTATATAAAGGAACTATAACCCTGTGTTCTGTTATTGAGATTTAGATAATACAGCACCAGCTCTCCTGCTAGATGGAACACTTTTTTGTTTGTTAGTTTGTTTTTTCAAGACAGGGTTTCTCTGTGTAGCTTAGCAGCCTATCCTGACACTTTGTAGACAAGGCTCGCCTCAAACTTACAGAGATTCACTTGCCTCTGCCTCCTGAGTGCTGGGATTAAAGGCGTGCACCACCAACGCTCGGCTGATAGAACACGTTTTTAATAGAAATTGCCATGTACTTAGGTTATGACACACAAAATACCTCTAAGGGTTTTGCTAGGTCTTAAAGAAAATTTACCAGTGTTTTCTTAGATATAGATATGTCATAAATCATCAGTAGAAAATTTAAGTTGCTTTTGAGGTGCTCAAGTTGATTCCATAAACATGATGAAATCAAGGACCTAGAAGTGAAACAAAATTTCTGATAAACTGCAATCTAAACTATAAACTTATGAAAGTGTCCACATATCTATTTTAAATTCTATTTATTTCCCCAACTGTCTGCTTATTCTCTTTGTTCATTTCTTAGAACCTGGCTAGGCACAACCTAAGTGTAAGCACTTCTTTTAGTGAGGGGCCACAGAGTAGCTTGGTGGAAGAGTGCTTCATAACATGCGCAAGGCCTCAGATTCAATCTTCAGTTCCATATGCCAAAGGAAGATCTTCAGCACAAATGTACTTAGTGAAGAATCCACTCACCTGAAGATAATACTGTAATATATTATAATTTTTTTCAAATAATGAGAGCTTGACAGATTTATCTAGGTAGGATTTTCCCACAGTGCTTTACAGTGCAATTACAGGAGTGGCTAAGGGATTACTGAACTTGTCTAAGATGAAAACTGTCAGTAATATGCCCTATCACAGGCACATTAGAAAGCTGAGCCCAACTTCAGCATCAGAAAGACTGTAGTTTGAGGGATTAGATTTGCCCCAGCACACCGTGTGACTACTTTTAATAATCCTTTAGCTATGAGATTCATTATCTGCCCGATGCTCTCCTTGCTGACATTCGTTAACCCTGATCCTAAACATTTAAGTCCACTTGACATTACTGTCACCTATATAAGCAGTTATTTACCGAGGTGGAGCAAATAGCTTCAAGCATTTTCCGACTCAGAAGGATTTCACTGACCTCGCAAACAGTTTGACATCCCAGTGACAGAGAGTAAATCAGGAACTCCTGATAGACTTTCTAAAGTCAGGTGCTTTGCCAGAGTCCTAGAATTTATGGGAAATGTACGCAGTTGTTCACTGTGACCAGAGATACTAGCTTCACGTCCTAAATCTCAGTATCAAGAAATAAGAGTAATTATTCATTATGAAGGAAAATGCTATTTTTTTCAGGTAATATTCTTACCTTCCTAATCCAGTGTCTCATAATAATATGTCAGAA